TGGTAATATTTTTCGGCTTATCAACCAATTTCTTCACCAAACACAGAACTTTTCCATTTTGCGCGATGAATTGTGTAATAATAAGAAAACGTAATGTTAGAGTTACTTCTCTCTTTGTATTGGCTGAAATTAGAGAACCATTTTAGCTATTTTTCATATAAATTTTTCCTTATTTAAGTAATAAAATATATTTTAAATATAGTTTTTTACATAAATCAACATTCAACTGGATCAACCAATGCAACTACTTTAGCCAGAACTTCATAAATTTTGGCAGAATTTGTCGATTCAGCCGATTCAAATGATTTTGGTGTTACCAAATAGACTCTTATGTGATGCAAAATTAAAATAAACTTTGTCTAATATAAAGTCGTTTTATAATACTAAAAACAGTCGAATCATCTGATTCTACTATAATGAATTAAATCTAACTGATTGGGCTGAATTGACGGAGACTCTCGAATTATGAAAACATAAAAAAAAATATACGGAGTACTACGTATATCATTAATAAAATAAAAAATAAAAATTATATGAAAAATATTTAAAACGGACTTCTACATAAGCATCCCAACTAAACATAATTATTTTATTAACGAACTAAACATAATTGTTATGAACCCGATTTTAAAGAATTCACACACAAATTCTTAATTTATCTCACATACTTTAAAATTTAAATTACTCTAATAAGCATCTCAAAACACTTTTTTTTAATATTTCTCATTCAACATGCCATGAAATAGCTATTTTAAATATTAAATTTTAGTATTCTTAGACGACTTTATATTAGACCAAGTCTATAAAATAACTTTGAAGAACAAAATTAATAGGAATTTTGCTGGTTTATCTGTTAGGTGGGCAAAACACGAATAATTTATTTCTTCAATAGAATGTAATAAAAATAAAAGGTATAACAAATAATTAAATAATTGATATAAAATATAGCGTGTGTGTACGAATGGCTATTAATTGTTGTGTATCAGATTGATGAATTTAATAACTATCAAAATTAATAAGTACTATGTAATAAGCTCTCAAAAAGTTACCAAATAAGGTGGATTCTATCCTACAATCTTTTGTTTCCATATCGATAAGCAATAAAAAATAGAATGTGATAAAAAATAAAAGGTATAAAAGGTTATTAAATACGGAGTAATTGTTATATATGATGACATGACAGGATTATGTGGCGCGTCGTATGCTCTTAAAAAGTTTCTCTTATATATATATTGATTTAAATTTTCATATAACTTATTTAATAAACCAATAACTAACACGGAGTATATAAGTAAATGTTCAAATTTACAAATCAATACATATAAATACATAATTAAACATAAAATGCATTACGGTTCAAAAAATACATTGTGTTACAAATATCACAATGTTATTAGGAATAAATCCTATAAAAAGAAAAATGTTTTAAATTCACAGTTTCTGAAACGCTAACCATTTAGGAAAATGAATTTCCTAATTCTTTTAAATTATAGAAAATGTCCCAAAAACGTGAGTTGGAGGACGTTTTCGTGCTCTAGCACATCAAGGAATAAAAATACCCCAAAAATGCTATTTGTACTCACACTTATACTCACTTTTATACGCACATGTTTGTGCAAGACTTTTTTGTATGTGAATCCCGTTCACAAACAAAATATATTTGTGCAAATTTTGCACATACAACATAAAACATATTTTGTCTGTGAATCAAATTCACAAACCAAAAAAACCTTCACAGACCAAATTCCTCTCCATTTCTTTCTCTTAATTTCCTCTCCATTTCCTTTTTACTTCCTATCTATCTCTACCTTTTTCTCTATCTTCCATTTCTTTTTAATGGAGAGGATCCAAATTAGGGTACAAAGAATGATTGAAAAATATCGCAAAGTCCAAATAAGTGAATGCTCCACTGACAAATGCAAATGACCACAATGAATATCGCATTTTTTGCCTTTCAGGGGCAAGTTAATTAGAAGCGAGAACCAGAGTATGCCTTTGCCATACATCCCACAGTTTACCTTGTTCTTCATCTAATTGACTCGAAACGCTTCTTGATTCTGATGATGCACATGTTTGCTAATCGTTAAAAAGTAAGCCACTTTCTAAAACTTTGTACCAGTATAATTTTTCCTAGCCCATTTGGAAATACCAAAATTGATTGAATAAGTTGATTCTGCTGAAACTTGTGAAGTTCTGACTGAAGTGACTGCATCGACCGATTCTGCTGACTTATGTAAAAATTATATTGAAAATATATTTTATTAATAAAAAAATTATATGAAAAAATAGTTAAAATGTTACATTCTTCTACAGTAACTTCAGTCAATACACTCAGAAAAGTATCTTCATTCTTACTTTTTGCATTACTTTTTCTACAGAAAATTACTTTTTCTTACTAGGTCCAAAAAATAGTTAAAATGTTACATTCTTCTGCAGAAAATTACTTTTTCTTACTAGGTCCGAAAATTAATTTGCAACAACGAATGTGCTAAAAGATCTCAAAGATAAGTTCAATATCAATAAAAGGTCTGAAAATTAAAGTGTATGGATTTAGTGTTTATTTATCAATGACCTAATATTCTTGAAATGTATATGTGTATAGATTTGAGAGCTCCTTTGGTGATGCTATGTTAATTTCGTGCGCTAAGTTGATTAAAACTTTTGAACAAACAAGTGTTAGATTTTTTAGGAATGGAAAAATTTGTTGATATGCAAACAATATTTTAAACAAGAACTTTCACGAAAATGGCTTTCTTCCAAATATGACGAGGTTGTTTTTAGAAGAGTGTAATAGGATTTATAAATAATCTTAGTTATTGCGTAAAATATGGGTTATTCATGTAAATGTGTGGCAGTATATAGAATCGGCTTTAGACTTTTTCTGTAAAAAAGTATCACTATGTCAATGACCAATGCAAGCTCGAAAATGTACATATTTGATATATATCATGTTTTCTAAACACATCATCTCATAAAAATCAAAGTATTATGAATAAGTATGGAAGAACTATCAAATAAGCCCTCGAACTTTCATAAAAAGTGCAAATAAACCCTTTTACAGGAGGCTTTGTCCGGCTGTCGCCATTTGGGGCGGTTTCCGGTGGAATTTTCTGATGAATTTTTTTGAGCATCTTCTTCATTAAGTCTAGTTTACCCATACCAACTTTCAGCTAAAAATTCAATCGAGAAGACAGTCAAATGATTTTCTGAAGTATACTGTGTTGCCTAACTGCACAGTTATCTTCAAAAATTCATTTGATTGTCTTCCTGATTGAATTTTTAGCTGAAATTTGGTATGAGTAAACTAGACTTAATGAAGAAGATGATAAAAAAATCATCAGAAAATTCCACCGAAAATCACCCCAAATGACGACGGCCGGACAGACTCCTATAAAAAAGCTTATTTGCACTTTTTATGAAAGTTCAAATGCTTATTTGGTAATTCTTCCTTTTCTATTAGTATAACACAACACATTAATTAATATATCAATTCTACACATGTATTTATGCGCTTTTATTGTAAACTTTGGGAGTTGAAATGATTGGACGGAGGTATTGTTCGCAAACGCGCTTGCACATTAGATATTGTGGAATGTGGACACCATTGGATCTTCATAGTAGAAAAAACAGATGAAGCGTTAACACATTAGGCAGCCGATGCTTAGGTTAGATGACTTGGATCAGATCATTAGTCTATTGCGTATGCTTAAATTTACAAAAATGTTATTATTGTAAAGACCTGTATGCATTTTTCGAAAGATTGCATGTTTCTCGAAACAAACAGTTAAAAATTAGTTTTAACAGTTAAAAACGTTTGAGGCTATGTTTGGCACTACGAGCTGGAGACTAAAGTCTGAATTAAAGGCTATTGTCTGAATTAGAAACTTTTGACTGGAACTGAATTTTGATGTGCTAAATCTGAACTACTAGCTGAATGAAGTAGACCCGTTTGATAAAAGATTCGAAAGTGTCTAAATTACATTGGAGGACAACTAACTTGCTACTTATAATTTTATAATTTACGTAGTACTCCGTAATAGATATCGACATGGTAGAATACACTTCATATAGACACCCAGTATATAATATATGTAATATATTTATAAAATAAATATCAGGAATAATAATACTATGTAATAACAAATGTACACGCATGATACATCACACTTTCATACATGTCAGTTTCTGCAATTTGGACCGGAATTTGAAAACAAGATTGATTTCCCCCAAAGCTGTTGGGGTTAAAGTTCAGGCAGTACGTAGATAACTACAATTGGATAGCTAAATTCCAAAAGCATTATAAATCGCATTTTATGCTCCAGCGGAAGAGAATGAAGAGAGATTTTTGGAGCTGCCCGTTGTGTGAAAACTCGGTCAGGGACTCAGGGTTATTCTAGGAACGCAAAAGTCTGCATTCCATAGGCTGAATGAAACGTTGCTCATGTTAACGTTCCATTTCAGTCAACAATTTCAGTTTAAGCTCAAATAAGTCTTTCTCCCAAACGAGTTTAATGGTATTATGATTGACTGGAATTGGAAAGTTTCAGCCGATTATCAGCTGGAAAAGGCTGCCAAACATAGCCTTATAGTGGTACAACAGAATTGAAGTGAAAATTGTTCAGTTGGATCAAATTGTACACTTCAATTCTCCTCATATGAGGTCTTCTAGTCATGTCAATTTGAAAGCTTTTTCAAATGACAATCCTCTAGTCCACATGAGCAACCAATTTTGTATATCAATTTAACAGAAGCCACAAGGATAGGAGGGAGAAATCATTAAGGGAACAATACCTTAAGCATAATTTACAACTTCATAATGATATAGAGTTATACACCAACAAAATTTTTATACCTAAAATAGGCTTACCCTCATTCACCCTTATTAGTTTGTATAAAGAGATAAAGATACGGAGTATAATATCATATCACAAACTTCAACATCAAAGGATCACAAATTCTAAGTATATGATCCTTAAATGCACATCAAGCATTATGTATAACCGGCATCAGCCACTGATCTAGTGTCAAGATAAGCTAGAATAGCATTAAATATTACCAAGTTAAGCAGTAGCTATTTTGAGTTTTTAACTTGCAACTACGAATGTGCTTTTGAACGTAAATAAACAGAAACTGAGCAACACTACAGTACAACCATCAACAACAACAAAATGACACTCGATATTAATCTTTCATGGTCAAGGAAAACTAACAAGCAGTGGGGAATGTCATATATGCAAAATATATTCATTAAGATTTTCATGGTATATAACATTAAGGTGTTGACACACTCACGACACAACAGGCTTGTTATCCCAAATCTCTCTTGCTTCAATTAAGGAAGGACAGTACCTATTAGCTAGCACTTCAACTTGTTCTGAAAAGGATTTGCTCGCATAGCTCCCAATGTGAAGAACCATTTGCCTCCAACGCTTCAAACATATTTCTCCAGGCCTATGTTCCAGAAGATTATCCCAGTCCACATTATCCACACATGTAGCATCCATTCGATAAAGTGCATCAATCATACGAAAATCATCAGTGTCTGCCCATATCCCTTCAGCCACCATAGGTGATGACAGCTGGCTGTACCACTTCACACAGCAAATCGAATCACTGCGTGTGGATAACTTATTACTAATTGCAGTCCAAGCCACATTGTCTCGTAGCATACCATGCTTGGATTTCTTTTCTTCTGAAATCCTCAATTGCAGATCTTTGTTGACTAAGTCAAACAAGTTCTGGTACTCATCCTGAGACCACTGTCCTCTCTTCAGGTTAGGCAAGTGTATTCTGCGCCATAAATCCTTCACGTGAAACCTATGTGTCCCAAGTGTATCAGCGATTTCTTTCCACTGATTCCCTTTTAATTTCTGATGTTTTAGTATCAGTTCCTTCTCTTCTTTGCTCCATTTGTGGTTTTCAATTCTCCGGAATAGGACTTGGGTACGACAATACACAGCTTCTAAAGGGCGATAAGGTATGGCAGCTGCTATATTCTTCCAACAGTGTCTTACTTCAGGGTAAGACTTACTGTTTAACACCATATGCAATCCTTCCTCCCCAAGATCATGCATCTCAATATAGTTATAAACAGCTTGTCTAATTATCTGATCTTCTTCTTTAGAGAACCGCTTACCTCGAACCAGCTGCACTTCTTCATTTTGATCATCCCCACCCTCAGAAAAATTAGACGCAGGAAATACCTCCACCTCACTGGAAAAGGTCACATTCTTCTTGCTACTTTTCTGTTTATTTCCTTTAGAACTATTATTGTTTACCTGTTTTCCATTAATATTACCATCTCTTTCTCCATCTAATGATCCCACATCATGACCCCTCTTCTTTTTCTTGTTCTTCTTCTTCTTCTTCTTCTTGACCTTGTCCACTTTGCCCTCATTTTTCCTATTACTTTCAGGAGCCTTAGTATCAGCTATGACTTCATGAGATCCATAGTCATCCTCCGTCTTTTGAGTCTTGTTCTTTTTCTTCTTCTTTTTGACCTTTTCATAGTCATCACCAGCTACTGTTCCTACCATCTGCTCATCTTTCCTGTTGTTCTCTTGAATCTTTTTTTCACTAATTTCAACTCCCCTCTTTCTTTTCCTCTTTTCTGTTTTCTTGAGAGTAACTCCATTAGTATCATCAGAAAGTACTACCCCTGCATCATCTGTTGCAGCTTTCTTCCTTTTCCTCTTTTCTGTTTTCATAAAGGCAACCCCATTAGTATCATCAGAAAGCGTTATGCCTGCATCATCTCTTGCAGTTTTCTTCGTTTTCGTAACACCGTCGTTGTCACGCTTCATTTTTTTCATACTTCCCTTCTCAATGCTTGTATGTTCCTTAACTCCCACATCCTTCACACTATGAATAGGATTGGCAGCTGCAATATCATTGATATTCTCCTTCCGTTTCTTAGACTTCCTAGATAGCTCTGATTTCTCCAGAGAACCAACCACTTCATCTTCCACCTCCATGGCTGTACACGAATTCTGTTATTGCTAAGCTCCACTAGAATAATTTCAAAAATGAAAAAGGAGAAAAATTATAACACCAACGATCCAACTCAATATATAACAATCAACATTTAAGAAATCAAAAAATGAAAAGTGAATCAAATCAATTAATAAACTAATCAAACAATCATATTAATCAATAATCAATAAAACAAAAGGTCTAAAACTCCAAAACATGTAACTGTAAAGCCATTAGGTGATTAAGCAACAAGGAAAGACGGCAGAGGACGAGAGGAGTACCTGAAGCCAGGAACTCTGAAGGCTGAAGCGGTGAGGCAGTCCGGCGAGTCCGCACTGAAGACTGAAGCCTCACGACGCACCACTGCACGGACGGAAAACACGGTCTGCACCAGAAGGATGACTGAGATCTGAGGATCCGAGAAGGGCGAGAAGCCAAGAAGGGCGAAGGGGCAGGGAGGGAGGCGGCCAAGGGGCCGAGGGTGTATTAGTGCCAAAATTTAAAAGTTCATATTGTATTGGATTTTTAAAAGTCTACGAAAGTCTAGGTGTATTCAAGGTAGACTTTTAAAAGTCTATAAAAGTCTATGCATATTCAAAGTTCCGTTCATTCTTATGAATTTCTAAAATCATAGATTCTCGTGGACTTTTAACTCTTTTTTAGTACATTAGTTCTCTTCGATTGTCTCTTCTCCTCACTAAAGATTTCTGTGGACTTTTCTTATATCGGTTTTTCATCCCGCCCCCCACCCCACCTCACCAACTCTCCTCTTCTTTACCCAAGTCACTCCTCCCCCTTCGATCTTTCTTCTTCTTCTTCAACCTAGCTCGCTTCATCCCTCCCCTTCCATTCTTTTTCTTCTTCAGCTTGCCCCACCCCCTCGATTCGTTAATCCCATACTGGTTCGATTCTAGAAGTTTCTATAAGAACTGGTATAAGAATCGATAATATTACAAAAGTGCAATTCTGGTACGTCGTCGCTTAACCATTAAGAAAATAAATATTTTAACTATTACTTTCTTTCATCGTCAAATCGCTAACACATAAAAATATAATTTCAAATTAATAAATATATAACTGTAAATAAGTACACAAATTTTTACAAGATAGAAATGAAAATAAAACAATTATTAAGAAGATTGCAACTGTGCTTGTACCACATGTAGCAATGAGTGTAACGATTAATGTTCTTACTCATTAATAAAATGACCAAATTTTTTAGCATTCTTGAAACTTTGAGTTTTTTTAATAAAAATAAATTTGGATTCTTATGCTTCATTTATTCTTGTAGAACTTTGTGTTGCTATATGAATTACATTTGTTTCATTTATTTATTTATTTATTTATTTATTTATTTATTTGTTTGTTTATTTGTTTCTTATCATACTCTGTATTATACAGAGGAAATTATTCAGGGTAGGACTAAAACATACGGAGTAGCATTCTTCTTAAAGTATGATCATATGTTTGATTTTCCTTAAATAGGACTAAATATTACATATTCACCCCTAATTTATTTTACATATTTGATTATCCATAATTCTCTTGCATAACCAAATCGACTTTCTTGGTGGCAGATCAGTCCGATGACGACAACGGGGAACTCAAGTGACGGAGACGGACGGGCAGATCGGTAGCGGCGGTCTAGGTGCAAATTTCGACGACCAGCAGTGGTGCTTCGCATTTAAAAATCTATGGACTTTTTGAAAGTTAATAAACTTATCCATGGATTTAAAAATTCAAAGAATTCATTCATAAAAAAGTCTATGGATTTAAAAATCCATTGACTTTTTTAAAAGTCCACGGATTAAAAAAAAACCACCACAATCCATATTCAATTTGGATTCTAAGGATTTTAAAGGAATTTAAAAGTCCATCAAAGTTTGGGTGTACTCAATTTGGATTTGTACGAAGTCTACTAAAATTCAGCTATCCTCAAATTGTCCATAGATTCTTTAACTTTTGGATTGTTAAGGATTTACATGGATTTCAAAACTAAAATGTGAAGGATTGAATACCGCTGAAAATCTCTGCTCTCCCTTCGGATTTGAATGGATTTCCCGTCCAGAAGCAAAACAAAGCTAGAAGAATTTCAGCCCCCGTTAATCTTCCTTCACTTCACTTCACTTCTCCCTCTCCAAAATCTTCCAGCCAAACAAAAGCTAACAAGAACTGCAGCAAAGCAGTTCAATTCACTTCATTTCAGCCCCCGTTTATCTTCCTTCACTTCACTTCTCCCGTTAAATGATTTCTTAGGTATTGTGTTGCCTGAGCCCATATATAAACCAACAAGAACTGCAACAAAGCAGAGCTTGGATCCTAAATCAAATCACCGCAATCCAATTAAGATAGAGACCAGAGAAAGTGAATCAATCTATTCAATCAATCTTGTTGCGGAAGCTTTAAGGAGACACACAGAAATCCTAGAAGCAGGCTAGCGGCTGGTAATTAGGGCAGAGTTTGCATGGTCTTGTATTTCAAATCTATTAAAATCTATCGAAATTTATATGATTCCATGAAATAGAATTTTATAGAATTCAATATGAATCTCATTGAATCTACGATCCTTTAAATCATTTAAATTCCGTGTTGGGGACACCCCCCTTATTATTTATTGTTTATTCTTATTTTATTCGGATCAGATCAGGTCAGATCAGAAAAATTCAGATCAGATCAGAAAGATTCAGATCAGATCAGATTAGATCAGAAACATTCAGATCAGAAACATTCAGATCAGATCAGATCAGAAACATTCAGATCATATCAGAAGCATTCAGATCATATCAGATCAGATCAGAAACATTCAGATCAGAAACATTCATAACAAATTGGAAACATTCTATTATTATCGATTATATTATTATTATTATTATTATTATTTTATTATTAAATAATAATAATAATAATAATAATAATAGTTATTATTATAATTATTAATTTATTATAATTATTATTGATATTATTTATTATTATTATTATTATTATTGATATTATTATTAGAATTATTATTATTAGTATTAATATTATTATATACCAGTTTCGAAAGTTAAGATCAAATCAGAAGGATTCAGATCAGATCAGATCAGATCAGAAGCATTCAGATCAGATCAGAAAAAATCAGATTAGATCAGATAAAAAAGATTCAGATTAGATCAGATTAGATCAGAAAGATTCAGATCAGATCAGATATGATAAAGTATATATCTAGAGAGAAGTGAGAGCTAGAGAGAGAAGTGCAAGTAAATGCTTCAATAGAATGATTTTGTAACCCTGATAACTACCTCCAGAGGAAGTATTTATAGGGAAAATACGGGCTGGGCTCCCAAGTCTTGGGCTTGGGAGGCCCATTTACAACTGGACCGCTATTGGGCCGAATACAAAGCCTCTGGTGGGCTATACAAATGAATAAGTGTAAAATCCGGTTCTGTGAGACTTTCGTGGCCGACGAGGGTCCTGGCCGATGAGGGCACGACCGATGAGGGCACGGCCGACGAGGACACCCTGGTTCCCTGGCTTTAGGATCATGTTCTGAGTTGGTCCTTCTTCGGCCGACGAGGGTCTATGGCCGACGAGGGCACCGCGTAGTGGCTGTGCGTTCTGTTCTTCTGAGTATGTGGGTCCTGGGACCTAGACCCGTATACTCCATCAGGAGTCCCCCACTCTCTAAGCTGAGATGTAGACGAAGTGAGGGAGAGTAGATTTCTGTGCTTGATGCTTCTTGGCCGATGCGGGACCACGTTGGCCGTTCCTTATTGCGGTGTTTGGTGGCCCCGTTCTGAGTTTGGCCATTGCATGCCCCCTGATGCGGACGGGGAAGGCTATTGTTCCTTTGGTGCGTTTTGTTTGTGGATAACGAGTGTCCTGGCATGAGTGACCGATGAAGGTAGTGCCTATCCTTGGTTGCTGACTAGTTAAGTTTCCCTTTTGGTCGATGAGGGCACTGCGCCTTCCTTTTGGCCGTTGTTGATGATGTCCTGTGTTTTTGGACGATCATGCGTCATATTGCCCAAGGTTTTGGGGATGATAACACTGTCCGGCCGTAGATGAAGTTGTGAGGACCTCGGGGCCGTTGCGGTATACGGACGACAGTGATTTAGGTATGTTAACCTTTCTCTTGATTCCTGGCCTGAGTGATGTGTGGTTTCACGGCCGATAAGTGTTCTGTGACATCGGACGTTGTGGTAAATGTCTGATGTTGTAGTTATGGACTTGGTGTATTTTTGGATTTCTTTTGATTTTGCCTGTTATTCTTGAGGCCGATGTAGTCCCCCAGTCCCCCACTGCTTCAGGCCGAAGAGTGAGTGAGGGGTGAAGGAGTAGATGGAAACTTAGGCCGAAGTGGGATCCTCATACTGCCCCTTGAATCCAACCCTTTGGTGATTTCCTGACCAAGGTAACCCTGTGGGAGAACCCTTGGACGCAGGTCGCTTTCAAAGGGTTATCATCAAGGATTTAGTGTGAGGGCCTCGTGGCCGTTACGTTCCTTTCTTTTGGGATATTGCGGCCATCTAGATGGCCGACACGGGTGCTGTGGGGTTACCTTTGTCTGTTGTTGGACGTTGAGTCCCCTGGCCGTTGTGGGTGTTATTCTCCCCTTTCCCGTTCCGTAGAGCCTGTTTTGCTAGTGGGCTTTTGATCTGTAGATTGGGCTTGACCCATTGATGACGTGGTGGCCTCCCGTTGGTGGCCGTTGGTGTGGCCACTGGGAGGGTGCCACGTGTAGTGACCGTTGGGTGGGGGGGTTCTATAAATACCCCTCTCTATCCGACGAGAACACTCATTTGCAATCTGAGCTATCGAAGTGTTGGCCAAATTCCTAGAGAGATAAACCTCCAAGCTTGTGTTCTTCGTGTTCTTCGTGTTCTTCAAGGTTAGTGTTCATCGAAATCTCTCTGTACTTTGCATATTTTGCTTCCTAGGCTAGTGATCTAGTGTTAGGCGTTTGAACACCCTTAGATCTCGAAGTAGGCTGCAGTATACTCGAAATAGTGTTTAAGATGAAAGACTTCAACGAAGAGTACTACCCCTACGACGACGAGCCCTCCACCAAGTCCCTTGACTATGAAGTGGTCGAGGAGTTCTGTGAGGAGCTTGAGAATCTGAGCTCGTTCAAATCCGGGGAGCAGGATGATGAGGACGGTGAGGACGAGGAGTCTGCGTCGTCGTCTGGAGGTGGGGACGTAGGGGTCTCCCGAACTGCTGATGGGGCGTCCACGTCGGCTGCCATCCCATGCCCAAAACCGGTGTCTGCTGTGAAGGGTGTTGCGCCGCCGAAGAGGGTGAGGAGGCCGAAGAGAGGGCCAGCCTTCTCTTACCTGGATCTGACGAATATCTACATTATCAGGCCGCAGAGTAATGCGGGTGAATACCTGGTTGCACAGATGTATGTGGGGCCGTACGGTAGAGTTAGGGCCCCCAGGCCGACGGACCATGTCCTTAATCCACCCCCGGGTTACTTTGGAGTGTGCCCGATGAGCTTTGCCAAAGGACTTAGGTTCCCGCTTCATCCCTTTATC